AAAGATGATTATAAATAGGTCATAGGGTAAAGATTACACACACACACACACACACACACACACACACACACACACACACACACACACAATGAATGGTATTTAAAACTAATTCAATTACTAATAACACCTTGGGTAACTTTTTGATAGTCACTCTAAAAGTATCAGCTGAGAAAGACAGTTCTATGTGAAACAGTGACCTAACCAGAAGGCATGATATGAGATTTTTCATCCAATGTTTATTTTTTCCCAGGGGTGGTGGTGGTAGTGGATTACATTTTTTAACAAAAATATTTCTTTAAAAAAAGCATGCTTTTACAGTATAATTTTTTTGCCTCCAAAAATCAGTTATAAATTGAGCCATTGAAATTGGTTACTGAATTCTCTCAGCAAAATCTCAAGAGGTTATGGGGTTTGGGAGCTACATACAGTCCTTGCATCATAATGGAAGAGCTTCTGTGGTCAACACCCTCCCCCCCTCCAAAAAAAAGTATCCTGGACTTCTGGAGAGCTTTCCCAAAAAACCTGAAATGGGGAAGGTGGCAAGGAGGAAGCATAGTGAGGAGAACTTAAGTACAAGAGGAAATCATGTTATGCTCATTACCATTATTACTGCAACAATCAACAATATTTATCAATATAACCTACAACAGAACATTTTTTAGGAGGCCAAAGTTTGAAGTTTTGCATTAATATTTCTTCAAATTGTTTTCTCAGACCTCCCTACCCACTGCATGACAGCTCTCACATCATTTCCCTCAAGAATTCCTGTTACAAAACGCAAACTGAAGAAATCAGGCCATTCTATGAGGAACAACACCAGAACTGGTATGTACTTGATGGATCTCACAGCAAATGGTGGATCTGGGACAAAATCCTAAAGGACACACAAGCAGTTACTAAACAAATCCAGTTATACCTGGAAAGAATACGGCAAGGTAAGCTGAAAGCCTTGTTTTAAATGAATAATACTTTTTCAAGAAAATTAGTGTTTAAATCTACAATATTATACTTGAAATTTAATTCACCTTAAAATAAAAATCAAGATATCTGAAATACACACACACACCTATATGATGTGTGCAATTCATGCAGCAATAGGAAATCATATATTTTATATGATATAGTTATCATTAAACATGTTTTTATTTTCTACCCTATAGGCAGGACAATTGAATTAAAAGCTCAAGCTTCTTACTATTTGAATTATATCTGATTAATTACTAATGGTTATTAATGTTATGTTAATTTGAAGATGGAGTGGTATTTTCAATTTCTAAAAAATGATATTGGATAATGTTTAAAAAGCATAGCAGGAGTTCTTTGCCTACTGCACAATTGAAGTAGTCTCCATCCATTCATAAATTGACCAAAAATCAAATGGTATGAGACTTGCTATACCCATTTCCAATCTCTATTCCACCTCTATCTTCTCTGTTCTTAGCCGCTGCAAGTCACCAACTTCTTTGCAAGAAAATGGATGAGTAAGCCTAACAGATTTTGCCCACCCTGAGATTGCCCTTGGGTGGTATGGGAGTGGGAAAGTACTTTTAACACCAGTAAGAACTGCTTAACTTTGCTTCATTCATGTGCAGAAGATGAGATGAAAGCAATGTCACAGGGTTACATCACAATATAGATGTTAGTGAGGAATCTTTGTTAATAGCAAACGTTGAGCAACTAAACTTTCCTGGATCTTGAGGCCCTGCACTCAGGCACTCATGCTCTAGTCATCTTGCCCTTGGACTTCTGCAATGCAGTCTACCTTGAAGAGCATTTACATCTGTTACAAAATGCTTGCACTGCTGCATTTTGTATCAGATGTAAATGCTCTTCAAGGTAGACTGCATTGCAGCGACTAAGAACAGAGAAGATAGAGGTCCAGGCTACCTGAGGAACCATCTCACCCCTCTGAGATTGGCCTATTTAATCGCTGCAGCAGAAGGAGCATGCTGCAGGAATTCTGACTGTGGGGTCCAGGAGACAAGCCTTTTCTGCCATGACTCCTGTCCTCTGGACCAATGTGCCCCTCAAGTTTGTCAGTGTTCCTGAAAACCCCAAATCAATGAAACTCCGAGACAGGCATTTTCTCAAAGCTCCCATTTATTAGAGTAGGTATACAGACACATCTGGGAAAACCCGAATCTGAGAATTCTGGGTTTTCCCTCAGGAAGTTAAAAGTCCAAACCCATCTCATGCACCCATCAGTCCATCATATGGCCCAATTCTAATCCATTCCAACTCAAGACATCACTCCAACTACTCCTTCTCCAGATGCAGGAGTACCCTGACTTTGACCGATAAGGAGAATGCTATTTTATCTAACTACACTTCTACTACTAAATCCAGCCCCCTGCTTTCCCAGGCACGAGAATGTAGCCGCCTGGAAGCATCCGGTGTTAATATGGCTTCCAAAGCTGACAGGAGCAAGAACAATCTGTACGCACCCTCTTGTCTTCTGAAAGAGCCCTAAAATCTGTCTTTGTCAATTGGCTTGGGGTGTCCCATTATGGAAGTGACTTGTAGATTAGATAATATTCCATCTCCACCCTGTTTAGGCATTGGATCTTTTTATCTAATTTGTTGTTAATGATGTTTTAATTTTAATGCTTCATGTTTTACTACCGTATTTCTAACTTTTTCATTGTCCAAATTGTTATTTATGATGCTGTAAAAGTCACTTGATGGTGAGGTGGATGGCTTATAAATGTAATAAATAAAATAAGATAGTACTGTAGTGTATTCAATTGTTAACAGGAAAAGCCGCCAGCATTGCTGACATGTGTATCACGCCAAATGAATTGCTTTCTCGGCTGGGAGAGTTTGGGCAATATTGTCCTGTGAGCCTTGCGGAAAGAGAAGAACTTATTGATTGCTCTGATTCCCCTTCTCTGAAGTTTGCTGCAGAATTTCGAGGACATTACTACAAAATGGCTGGACAAAAGGAGTTAGATGTAAGTATTATAATATTAAACAGGAAAACAGATGCTGATGCAAAGAGTTGTGAGAGATTGCAGGGCTTGTTAGGCATATACAAATTGAAATTTGCTTGCATTGTGGTGTGGCAAAGACCCTTGTAGAGAAAGAGGTAGAGGCAGGAAACTGACAAGCAAGTGAGAGCAAGTACTGGACTCTCCAAAGATGTAGAGAACCTTCTGAAGACATTCTTCCCAATCTCTTGACCATTTGCGGAAGGGTTTGGAAACAAAAACAGATTCTAGGAGCACAAGCTCTGCTGCTGTGGCTTATATCAAAACAGTTGGTGGGCTTTCACCACATATGGCATACACAATAAAGTGAGTGAGGAAGCCTATGGTATGTCAGCATCCACCCAGCATTCTGGGGTTGTCTTAGGCAAATTACTGTCCCTTAAGCCTAGTGTTCGATTCTTCCTATGATATTGCAATTAATGTATTGGGATGTTGTTTGAATGCTCAGGAGTAATATTATACATAATGGTTATACATAATGCTTATTCACTCAATTGTGCTGTTCCTTTTTTCCTGAGCTATAAGAATACAATGCTGTTAATTAAAATGTAGCAGCAGTTGTACTTTTAAGATGTATTTTCATTTTTTGACTTAATAAAAGTAGTAAATGATTTCCGGGACAGTGATAATGAAGTACTTCCCTTTGCATACAGGTAGTCCTTGACTTACAACCATCTGTTTAGTGACCAAAGTTACAACGCCATTGAAAAAAGTGACATACGACTGTTCCCCACCATTTACGACAGTTGCAATATCCCCCATGGTCATGTGATAAAAAATTTGGATCTTGGCAACTTGTTCATATTTGACAGTTGCAGTATCCTGAAATCATGTGATCACCTTTTGCAACCTTCTTACAAGCAAACTAACTGAAGAAGCCAGATTCACTTAACTATATTACTAATTTAGTAACTGCAGTGATTCACTTAACCAGGCAAAAAAGCTCATAAAATGGGGCAAATCTTAACCATTGTCTAGCTTAGCAACAGAAATCTGGGGCTCAATTGTGATTTTAATTCGAGGACTACCTGCAGCCTGGCCCCTACCAATACCATCTCACTGTCCTCAAAGCTTCCTTTCAGAACGATTATTATATCTTTGTTGTACATTTTAGTACCGGTAATTCTTGAATCTTTTCCTCCCTCTTCTAATTTGATTTTAGCTTCTTAAACTATTACTGCATTAGATTGTTGTTCTATAGAGCACTTATCAAAGGACAGATGCTAAATGTTATGTAGTACTAAGTAGACAGTAGTTTTAAAAAGCATCCATTTTTTTCATAGATTCATAGAGAATTTTGTTTCTTATCTTAAAGTATGTTTCTTCTTGTAAAATATTTTTTCAATGCAGAAATTCCTGAAAACTCCAGAATTATATGTTCCTCCGTTAGCACCTTATCCTCTTCCTTTATTAAATAATTTACCCAAAAGGTTAACTATAGCAGATGTGAAAGCTTTATTTCCTATGCAAGCTGAACTGCAAGGCTTCTGCCCAGTCACTTTTCTTGATGGAAAGCAAAGGTAAACATTTGCATTTTCATTTCCATTAAATGTAATGTCAAAAAACAATGCTTTGAAATGTTTTTTATCAAATTTATACACAATGCCATCAACTGGACTGTCAGTATTTTATAATAATGAAGAGTATCAACTTGAAGCAAAAATAAACAGAATAAAATATCCAAGGCAAACCTAGGAGACTATAAAACTGTAAATAGCTTAGAAAATTAAATGATAAAATGCTTTATGAAGCAACTGAAGCCTTTTGATTTTCTTTTGCAATTTTTATAGCCATTTTCTTAATCTTGCATTGAAGGATTTGTTTTTAAAGAAATGTTAAGTATTTGTATGTCTCATAAAATATATTATGCAGGTGTATCTGTTTACTTTATAGACAGAAGATCCAAAATTCCATCTTTGCTTTGAGATGCATTTTAAACTGTGATGCGTTCTAAACTGTTTCTTTCTGTAGACTTAAAGTAGCTTCCATTCACAGCTTTTTATATTTCACCAAATATTACAAACATGTTGGCCAAACACATATCCCCAATATTATCAAACTAATGCCTGGTATCTAGAATATATACCATACTGTACATTACATTGTATGATATCTGTAATGCACAGTACAGCAATACACTCAATATAAATCTTTCTGGATAATTTTAGGGTTAAGGAAGGATGTGAGATCTTATAGATTAATTCTTGAAAAATCAGTGTCTACACATGCTTCTAGATTCCCATAGGGCTGCTAACTTGAGAAATGTTTGTTTGTTTGTTTATTGGATTTATATGCCACCCTTCTCCCAAAGGACTCAGGGCGGCGTACAACATTAAAAAAAACACACATATTACAAAANAAGGCTGAGTCAACCCTGAGCTGGTGAGATTTGAACAGCCGAACTGCAGAACTGCAGTCAGCTGAAGTAGCCTGCAGTACTGCATTTAACCACTGTGCCACCTCGGCTCTACTTATTAGAAGCAATTTCTCTGATTTTTAAGGTTCATCCCTTCTACTTCAACCCCACCACATATAACAAAAAAAAAAATCTCATCTGAGGCTTTAGGTTCTTGAAAATCTTGGGAGCAGCTTCAGTGGTCTCCCAAAATTATTATTAAACTATAATATTTAATAATACAGAAGGAGGGTTATTAAATATTGAACTATAGGATAATTATATTAACAATGAATGAAGGTGAATATACGTGTCCCAGGATAATGTTGCAAGATCCAATCTGGGTTCGTCACCAGGACCAAGTGTTTTGTCTTCTGAGCTTTCGGACTCATGCTGGACTTCATCTTAGGGAACTTCTCATACTTTATATAATGGTGATTGACCCAGATTGGATCCTGCTACTATATTTAATTTTAATTAAATATCAAGATTAGGAAATGAAGTCAAATATATATTTTTGCCCTGCTGTGTTGTATTGACACTATATAGTGCCCATCGTGCCCAAAAGAGCAAATGTGAATTCAATCCATTAAAAAGTTGAGTATCCTTGTCCTATGCTGTTCCTCAACATATTATGTGGCATCAACATCTTACATAAACTCAAAATGAGTTCAATAACATGGGAATTAAATTTCACTGGCTCTTGAGTTCCATGTCTATCGATATTGCAGCATTTCAGCAAGCTATTGTTGCTGCTGTTAATTTGACAACACTTATTTCATTGGTCTTCAAAAATCATTTTACAACAACATGCTTAATTTTAGTATGAGGCGAGGAAGCTTGAAGCCGAAGGTGAAGAAGAAGATGAAGAAGAAGAAGAAGATATTGAAGCTATGATAGAAGATGAGTTTCCGAAAGAAGAAGAGGAGGAAGAGGAGGAAGAGAAAGAGACTGAAGCTATTGAGCGGTTAAAGATTGAGATTGCAGAGAGATATGAAGTAGATACTGCAAATGTGCAAGCTATGCAGGTATTTTCAGCATATCTAATTTATCTCTATTCTGTTTTAACATTTGCCTAAACAGTTTACAAATTTGCATAACTTAATGCTTCAGAAGAATTGGTTAGTAATATGTTACTTTGGAACATCAATATAGCTGTCCAGCAAAGTGAAGAAAATTAATTAAAATTCGGTTTTCTCGCAGGGAGCTTCTGTTAAAAGCATTTGTGAGCAATCTTATGCCTCTCCTTAATCCAGTGAGGAATTCGGGGAGTCCATTCATCAGCTACTCCTCTTTCCACCATGATCATGTGATGTCCTCAGTCCACTATGAATATTTTAATGAATCTTAAAAAACAATGAATATAACTGTACATACTTAAGATGAAAGAAAATATTAAACCAATTGAAAATGCAGGTTGTCAATAACTTATTAATTTTATGTATCAGGTGCCACTAGTGGATTTTGCAGTGGTATCCTTTTAATACCTTTGCCATCTGCTACTCTTCTGAAAAGTAGTTTCCCAATTCCATAACTCTAGTTAACATTTGATATGCCTACAGTGGTGATTTAGTTGTTGAGGCTTTATGAAAGATACTTATTTAAAATAGCTCTTAACCATCTTTTTAATTTTTTTTCCTTTCCTATTTTTTGTTCCCAGGAAGAAATTGAAAAACTATTCATACCTATAATAACTCTCTCTTGCAAAAGAAAACCTCACATTGTACGCTACCAGCTATATAAAAAGATAAAAGACCTTGTAGAAAATCGTGAGAGCATTTTTGAGAAATGTTATCCACTAAGCTTTTCACTTGCACGGAAAATGATTGTTCTCTCTTATAAACATCCAAGCAATTTTGGCCAATGGGATCCTGTCAAGGTAACCAAACAGTCAGCTTGCTAGCTTTCTAAAACCATTTCTCAATTCAATATACCTTTTGCTATTTATAATTATAAACAAGGACGTTTCATCATGGGTTATATTCATTAAATGTTAATTAGTAAAACAAAAGTTCATTATAAAAATGAGTCAACAAATGGGGCTTCAAGTCCATTTTGGATATATAGAAATGCATCACTCCTTTTTTCCTTGTTTTTCCAGCTACTTATCAGACAAAATGCCTCCTGCTATTGACCATTAGTTACTTTCTTTTCTATAGTAAGATATCTAGAAAGCCAGTTCTGTGTTTCATTTGCCATCACAGAATCCCTATCAGAACATTGGTAGAAGAGATGCTTATGTCATGTCTTGCAACTGGAAGGAGAAAAACTCTTAGAAATACAATGCAAAGATTTTTGGGTTACAAATATGTTCTTCTCAGTTGCAGTTCTGCCTACTGGCTGAGGAAATAGGTGCAAGTTTCTAATTGGTTCTTATTTTGTGCATAATTCTGATTGTTCATTTTGGTGGAGAGATCAGCCCTCACCAATCTGTGCCAAATGGAAACCAGCTCAGCTAAACACCAATCAAAAGTCGTGGCAGCTAGCTATAAAGATAGGAGTCAGTTCCTGTTCAGTTTCCAGTGATCTGCAGAATAGACCACTTTAACTATGAAAATACTGTCCACAATTTTATTTTTTATTTACTTATTTACCGTGTTTATATATGTTAACCCATATGTTAATAATTTTACCGTGTTTATATATGTTAACCCATATGTTAATAATTTTAAAATTAATATTGTAATTTTAAAAGGCAAGGAAAGAGCGACTGCTATTAATAACTGTGGAAATAACTCTCACTATTCCCTTGGGGGCTCCAAACCTGATAACATAGCCATGTCTTGATGGACTTGCCTAAATTAACAGGGATGGAACCTGCCAGGAGAAAAGAGAGAAAAGGTCCACAATGTATTTTGCTACTATCAAACCGTTCTGGCAACAGGCAAAGATTGCCTTCAACTCAAGGTTCCAGGAGCCTTTGATGAGAAATTTGTCTCAAGGGAAAAGTTTGGGATGACAGAGGCTCCCAAAAGTGAAGCATTTTAATTTTAGATAGCTTTTTTGTTTTTCTTTCAGGTATACTTCCAAAAGACCTAGCTTTGTTGGTCTTTTGAGGAGGACTACGTTGGTAGTAATGATTCTTAAATATAGATTTAATAGTCAATGCCTTTCAGCCAGTATTGGTATTAGCCAGAGGTGGGTTGCTGCTGGTTTGGCCCAGATTGGCCGAACCAGTAGTAGCAGTGGTGGGATACTCTGCCCACCCGCCCAGAAGTTTCTGCGCATGTGCAGAAGCGTGCGTGCGAGCGGGAACATGCCCAAAGTGGCAGTGAAGAAATTGGCAACCCACCTCTAGTACTAGCATAAATTATTTAAATTGCAGGATGGAGAAGCTTAGCTTCCTTCTCAAAAAGAAAAAATTACTAATTGTCAAAATCTATTTAACATAATAAAAAATTATCATGTAAGTTACAAATAATACATTGTTTATTTATTATTTAAATTTATCAACCATCTGAATTGGCTGTTCAACTCCAAAGGGCTCTGTAATTTTAAGGTAATTTTGAACATCAATAATTCTGTATTTATTGCAGCTAAGTGAAGGAGATGCTATCAAGCCCTTTCGAAATGATGACACGCCGATTTTCCCAGTTATTCATCGAAACTGTATATATTTCTTTACAAGTAAAGAAAATAGAGAAAAATTTATGAAAAATCCCCTCAAATATCTCCGCCAGCCTAAACCTAAGCCAACTGTACCAGTTAAAATTGCAATTGTTGGGCCTCCAAGGTCTGGAAAGACAACAGGTAGGTTTTAACTGTGATAATATTGGTGTTTGTGTTTTTTATTGCGGGGAAGCAAAACAAAACATAACCCACCTCCTCATGGTTCAGAACCATGCAACAAAATTCAGTCAATGTATCATCAAACTTTGGTGGCAGAACTGCAAGCCGCTTTTGGAGGGTTGGGAGATTTTTAAGGGTGGAAATGAGAAAGATTTTTTCCCCTGCCCACTCTTAAAAAAAACAGTCCTGCCCTTTTCAGTAATATCAATATCCTTCTAATATTGTCACTTGCAGCCTTTTATTTAGCTGCAGTTTTAAACCCCCAATCCTGGAAACTTACATCCCCATTATATAAGGTTTGGGGTTTTTGTACTTTTTAATTTTTTAAAAAAATTAAATGTACATTTACATTAAATTTAAATTAAACTAAATTAAATTCATTACAATTTAAATTAAAATATATTTTCATGTGAGNGCTCGAACACTATACTTTTCCGCACACACTGAAAAAAAATTAGAGGGAACATTGGTCCCGGGCCCGCCAGAGATCATCAACCAACGCGACCAATGCCGTCTCCGTGCTGTATCCAGGCCTGAAACCCGACTGAAATGCTTTTGTTCTGTTCGTGCTGGTTCTTTGTTCCCCAAAAAGATGAAGTTACGTATAGCTCAGGACTGATTTCAGAGCTGACAGATACAGGATTGCAAAGTCATGTACAGAAATGTTGAATACTTGCAGTACAATTAATTGGGCAATTTTTGAAAAGGGTTTGAAAAGCAGTGCTGGTTGAAAAGATTAAACCCTTTTGAAAAACATTCGCTGACTGAAATTTTGATCAAAACCAATTACTTGAAGCATGTGACCTTTTATCTTAGCTCACTAGTTTCTGGGGTATTTCTATACTCAATTCAAAGGCTAATCATTATCTTTAAAGTAATTTTAAGGGCTTTATATTATAAGGATTAAGGATAATTTCCTGACACAATCTGACACAGACAGGGTGCAAATTAATATATATATGTTGCTCTTCTTTTGAGATATGAAGCTCTGGTACCTGGGGACATTGAATATGCTGTACTTTATCGCGAAAAGCTATATATTTTTGAAAATGAAGAAAAACTTCAGAGGTTTATGAGGTATGGAATGCATTAAGTATCTTCATATCTATATATTTTTATCTATATAGGTTTACATTTTGCTGACTTCTCATTTCTGTATTCTTAGAAAACCAGAAAAATATTGGAAACTGACACTTCCACATAAGCTTCCCCCCTTAAAGGAACCTATAGTGTTGACAGCTCTTCCTCTGACTGGATATCTTGAGCAGGTTTTTTCTTCTTGTGGTTATTTATAGTCAAATTGAAATATTTATTTGGATTCTAATCAGTGTTAGCTATATTTATACACATTTCAAAACTCTAGAATGACTTTTCTAAAACAAAATGGATCGTTTTCATTAAAATGCTTCCTATTCATTGGTACACCTTTTTTATAATTTTCATTTTTGAGACTAGATTTGATTTGTGATGACAGAAATGTGGCATATGTCCCAGAAGCTAAAACTCTGTGATCAAATCAAATCTGCATATTTATAATGGCTAATAAGTTAATTATACATAATTATTTCCTAAGTCACCTAGGACCTAAATTGGCATATACTAGGGCAGTGATGGCTAACTTTTTTGGCTCCCGTGCCAAAAGCAGGGGGTTGCACAGGGGGGGGGGGTCGTGCATAGGTGTACCACATCCGTTATGTGCGGGGGGGCTGCCTGTGCATGTGCGCGCAACCAGGGCCCCCTCCCCATTTTTTGCTTGGTTTTTTCGCCCTTCCCAGGCTCCAGAAACTTTCTAGGAACCTGGGGAGGGCAAAAACAGCCTCCTTCAAGAAAGCCTCCAGACAGCGAAAAACATCCTCAAAAGAAGGCCGAAGTCAGTTGGCCAGCACGCACATGTGCGCTGGCCAGCTGATAGGACAACGCCTCACGTGCCCTAACAAATGGCTCCATGTGCCGCCTGTGGCATGCGTGCCATAGGTTCGCCATCACGGCACTAGGGTCACTGCTGCTTGGCAATCCTTTTTGATCTTCCATGCAAATTAGTCCAAATCCAAATTTCTGACCTCTCAACAAATACATATTCACCTCTTTATGATGATGATGATGATAGTGATGGTGATATTATCCATTAAGTTGTGTACAACTCTTGGTGATTCCAGGTCTCTCTACATCATTTGATCTTGTACCACCACTCTGGCTGGTGTCAGCTTTAATGGTGCCCAGCCACTTGTGTTCTTAGATGGCCTGGTTTCCTTTTACCACTAACTCTTCGAAATGTAATTTCTTTCTGCAGTGAATTTCCCCGCATGACACGGCCAAAGTAAATGAGATATATACTATATCTTTAACATACATCTAAAAGTAATTTTTAAAAAAAATCAAATTTCAAGGTGCTTCAGAAACTGTATTCAATTCCTCCGTGAAGCTCAGTATAAAGCCATGTACATTATAAAGCATACCTATGAAATGACATCATACTAAAGAATTAACATTAAAAATATTTTATCCCAAAGGGTGTGGCTACATCTTTAATAAAAGCAATGAATGCAGTTGGTTGCTTAAAGCCAAAATTTCCATTCCTGAGTGTGAAAAGGACCGCTTTACTATTCATAGCCTTTCATTTAAAAGGTAAAGAAAGGAAAAGAGCACTATTGTTATAAAAAATTAGTTTTTTCTATATAGTTAACTCTAAAAACATTCAGATTGAGTACTAACATTAGAATTAATCCACCAAAAACCAGTTAATAATTTTCCTGATAGATAGAAAAAGAACATTCTTTTCAAATAGTTATGCTCCTTTTCCAGATATAATTTTTAATTTTAGTATATTTTTTACTATATGAAGGAGAGTAGAAAATGATTTGTAAACATATATATGGAAACAAATGGTTACATTAATTATGTCAGTGTAAATGCTGACTTCTAAATAGAGATATGCATAATAAAAGCATCATATCCATACAGGAATAATGAAACAAAAGAACATTTTGGCAATGCCAAATCCATAATATGAATGCTAGGAAGCAGACCATTAAGGGGGAAAAATAATGCAAGAGGTGATCTAATGCAGAATTCCCCAACTTTTCCAGCTTTGCGAACTGGAGGAGGGGGAGTGGATGTTTCCGTGTGAGTGGCTAGTATGTAAATGGACTGCCATGCACACGCTCGCCCGCTGCTCGCACAAGTAGGGATGCACATCTGCGCTTGCCTGCTGTTTCTGTGGCTTGGTTGAAACAGCTCATTGTCAGCAGAAGTATCATGCCTTTAAAGATGAATTTTAGCCTGTTAATGTGTGTAAGGTGGTATGGAGAAAATATCTGAAAAAACAAGCAAGTGCTGAACTATTTTTATTCCTTATACTCATTATCCATTTTTCTTTACTTCCCAGCACTTTTCTCGCAAGACCTCAATATTAGAAGTTACCACTACAGTAACTACTGTTGTAAATTGCCAGAGTTTTCCTAGGAGTATATGGATGCAAATTTAAAAAATAGTTAAATAAACATCTAGTGAGATGTTCAGTGGGAACCACTGAAACATAGTATGTGGATATTGGAATAAGAGTAATGTGAATTCTGAAGTATGATGGATAATTAATGGTATTTAATTTCTTGCAGCATATAACCCTAACAGCCCTGACTATGTACGAAAGAAATATAAAATGAAGTTGGAACGGTTCATAGACCATTGTGAACTTATCCCATATCTAGGCATCAAAATGACAAAGAAGTACAAGGAGCCTCAAAATCGACCTATTGATTTTGATCACAAGTTACAGACTTTCTTGTCTCTCAAAGATGTGGATCCATTAGCGTAAAATATTGCAAAAAATACTAGAAAGTGATATATTCATATTTGACTGTTAAATTATACAAATATGGTTGTTTTTAGATCCTGCCTAACTACACAACGGATCAAGATAAGCTCATGTCACTGGCTTGTTGCAAGTCTAAATAAGGCAATACTGTAGTTTCCTATAAGAGGGTTTGCAAAATGCAGTTTGTAAAACTGATAGTGTACAAACATATTTGTAAATTGCCCTATAGTCCTAATTTTGCAAGGAATTTAGTAAAAATTGTTTTTCATAAGTCTACTTCTAAGAAAATATGTTTATATTTGTGGTTATATTAATATTCTTCAGTTAAGGATAGAACTTTAACTGTTATAAGCTATTTGTTAAATCATTATTGTTTGACATTACTGTACTTAAATATTTAGTGTGTTTATTTAAATATAAAGACCTGAGACAATTTGAGATACTATGAAGTATTTCATAAATTTGAGATAATATCTTGACTTTCAGTTGTTACTGTAGTGGTTTAAATTTGTTACTTTTGTTAACTAGTGAAATATTAACCTACATGTAGTTATTTGAAAGAATCCACATTCAGGTCATTGCTATTGTTTCTTCCCCACCCAGTTCTAAATAAATATAAGTAATTGCTTCATTTTATGCTTCTGAACAGTTTGAGAATAATATCATTCTACTGTGTATATCTTAGTTTGAGCATCTCATCATTCTACTGTGTATATCCTTTCAGCAACTCTATAATACTGAACACAATGGAGCAATAGTCAGTTGCATATTTTTGCCCTATTGACACTTGATAGAATGGAAAACTGGAAAAAATCTGAATGTATTCATTATAAACAATGCCTTTAAAAGCAGTGGTTTTTCAAATGGCTTGTCTTTATACCATGTTTTTCTCACTTCAGTGGCTAGTCAGATTAGAAGTTGGTACAGACTTGTCTTCACTGAGATTGGTGAATTAGGTCTGTACCATTTCATCAAGCAGAAGCTCATATAGTTGAATGCTCTTCAATTCAAAAATAAATCTTCCATAGGAAAAACCAGACGACGTAAAGAAAACATTATCAGATATTTCTATTTGAATCCTGAATATTAGCAATTATATGACTGCCCCTCCAATCTGAAATAGCAGGCTCAACACAGTCACAGAGCTCTATTAATTAGTACTAAGCAGACGTAGGGGGTCAGTCAACTGAATAAACCATTATGACTGTGTCGTAGTTCATTTAATCATAGTTTACTCAATAAAATCAGTACCAATAAATGAGAATATCTGTAGCTCATGGTTGAAATGAAGTGCTCTCTGAGCTTGGTTGTTTTCTTGCAGACATTTCATTACCCAAACTAGGTAACATCCTCAGTGCTAGTGGCACTGATGAAGTTAACTACCTTGGATAATGAAACATCTATAAAAAAAACAACCAAGCTCAGAAAGCACCAAGGATGAGTTTACAATCCTTCAATTAGATTAATTTATGTGTTTGTCCAATATACCGAGCCATAAGCTAACAATGTAGACAGATTTGTGTAACATATTAAGCTACAATGTCAAGAGCTAGTTTAATAAATTGCTAATTAGCAAATGGCTCAGTGCTGTTTGGTTGTTGCAGCACTAGCTGAACTGGAAGTGGAAATGCAGAGCAATTTGATGAACTTTCTCAGCCATACAGAACCATTCTGGAATGGAGCCACATATAAACAGCAATAAAATAAAACCCATCTGAAGATACTTGGCAAAAAGTAGTCAACAGTTCAAATGTATTTTAGGAAACTAAATTTTAAGTGCAACTCAGATACCAAACAGAATTTTTCCAAAGATCTTTGTGTCAACAGTCAGGAAGCAGTTTGCAATTATCTTGTGCATCTATTCATTTGTTTTCCTCAGTTAAAAAGTAAAATGTCCTGAATGGGCATGGTGTCAATCTGGAAACCCTTTTAAGAGGAGGAAATCCTCCCCCTAAAATGGGAAAATTTGAAGTGTCTACTGCTACCATTTTGGTTTAAATGCCCACATCGCGAATCACCCGGAATCACATCCATGGGTCTGCCATTCCTAGTGCCAAGACTATTTTTGTATTTATACGCCTGCCATCCTAATACCCTGTCTTCGAAGTTTGTTATTGGACACCCTAAGTAAAGTAGGCTTGGTAGGCTAAGTAAAGTAGGCTTGTCCCATGAGATCTCGGCCTACTGTCCCAAAAGTGCTATTTCAAAAGGCAACTAGCAATAGCAATAGCAATAGCAGTAGACTTATATACCGCTTCATAGCATATTGCCCCCAACAATCTGGGTCCTCATTTTACCCACCTCGGAAGGATGGAAGGCTGAGTCAACCCTGAGCCGGTGAGATTTGAACCGCTGACCTGCTGATCTAGCAGTAGCCTGCAGTGCTGCATTTAACCACTGTGCCACCTTGGCTCATAACAACTGGACTTGTTGTGTTTCTTCTCTTGGAGACATTTTCCTTCTCAGCCAAGGAGCATCTTCAGAAAAAAAACATTTTTGGGATGATCTGGATGGTTTTGGGATGATCTGGATGGTTGAGAATCTACATAGCTATGGTTAGAATTCCCTCAAATTCGGCTCGGTAAAAAATCAATGTGTTTGGCAAAAAAGTAGTTAGCCTTGTTGATTGAGATACAGAGCCCTTGCACTCTTCGATCAACATTATTTTCAAAAACCATGGTGGGGCAGAAGTGATGTGGTGGGGAAGTGGTTAGAATGCAGCATTGCAGGTTAACTCTGCTGACTGCCAGGGGCTTGATCCTCAACGGTTCAAGGTTGACTCAGCCTTCCATCCTTCCAAGATTGGTAAAATGAAGAGCCAGTGTGCAGTAAAATGAGGATGCAGATTGTTGGGGGTCAAATGCTGACTCTGTAAGCCACTTAAGAGGGCACTATGAAGCGGTAGATAAGTCTAAGTTCTATTGCTAAGTCTCTACAGATTCTCAGTCAGCCAGATCATGGTTGTCCCAAAGGTCAACCGTTGTTTTTTTCTTGTCTACAAGGAATACAAATCCTTCCATTCCCCACTATCCTGTCAGAGCGGAAGAAGCTTCTTGAATGAGAAGCGAAACGTCTTCAAAGAAAAAACAAAAAAGTCCAGTTGCTTCCTAAAAAAGACACCTTTGGGATCGCTAAGTGCTATTGCTATCTTCACCTGCTGGGAAATCCGAATCGGCACACCGGATCCTCCAATCCCAGAACACGCCGGCTTGGACAGGATCCCCCGCCTGTCGCTTAAGGGCAACGAACACTTAACCATCCTACCTTCTTTCTACGCCCGAACTCCACCCCACCCCCTGTCGTGCTTTTTCCCCTCGTAATCCCCGCCTTCGTCTTGTGACCTCACTTCCGGGATACGCGCCTGCCGCTTCCGGCGTATGCCTTTGCTGGCTTCAACCGCCTTGTAGTGGGGCTCCGTATTTGCAGCTTTCGCAGTCGAGGGTGAGTCCAGTTTCATCGCTGACTCCCACCCCCCACTTTCCCCCCCCCGCCCGGAGGGCTAATAGTTTATCCAGAGGAAGGTCTTGGTCTTCCATTGACAGTTATTGACCAACGGCGCGATAGAGGCGTTTGCGGGGTTCCAACTCTTCCTCTGGGTCTTCTCTTTAGGGACTACGGGATGGCCGGGATTTCTGCTGCATCCTGCCCACTACCAAGGCTTATTTTGGGTAAATGGGTTAGGTTAGTAAATAACGATTGTCGGAAGGACGGGACTTCCAATGAGTGTTGGAGAGGGAGACATTCGCTACCCCGAAAACTCGTATTTATACCAGTTGGATGAGATGGGGGGGGGGGAGCGTCACCTGTTGAATTTCTCTCGCAGCTTGTGAAAGGCAGGAAAGTTCAGGCGAGAGGGAAAAAATATATAAAGCGGGCATCGCGGTTCCGTTTTTTTTCCATCTCTTTCCCTTTATTCCTTTATCTTTCTACCTTGTCTTGCTTTGCAGTCTTGACTCCTCTTTTGTTTTAAATAGGAGAGCAAAGGGAAATTGGCAAAACAGGCAGGTCTGGCTTTGAAAGACCAGTCATTATTATTATTTTTTGCCCTTATTTTCTCTAATTGGGTCGTGGTCTTTTTTGGCTTCCGCAAAAGCTTGGGGGGGGGGGGAAGTGCGGGTATTGGCTCATTATAGCAAAGGACATTTATTTTTATTATTTATCCGTGAAATCGCACAGTATGGAATCTAAACTGGAAGGGAAAGTATGCTACGGAGTAAATGATTGAATATAGCGTGATAAATGGTTTTAATGTTCTTAGGGATTTTTAACATGGAAGGAAATAAAAGTCCTTTTTAAAATAAATAAATAAATAAATAAAGTAATAAAAGAAAAATGTAAAAACTGACAAAAAAAATAGACTCCCAATTGAACATGTTTAAGCTAATGTAGTACAAATCACAGAAGAATAAACAGTGCATTAAATCAATATTGAAAATTACTGTTCAATTAGAAATATGATTCTATGGAAAAGTTGGATGTGTCACAAAACTATTCACATCATCTAAGAGAAAAGCCGGTTTTTACTGGAATGAGTAGCCTATAAATATCCTGTTTAGTTTAAACTTTCAAAAATATTGGAAAGCAAACATACTTGTGTGACAGGCCTAGTAAAGGATTTCTTAAGTGGTTTTAGAAAAAGTGGCTACATCAACATTTATTTGACAAAAAAAATCATAGATTGCTGTCTGAGACTCAGTTGGCCTTAGATTATTATGTGCTTCTTATGTAAATGATACCGACTAGTAATATTGTGCAAATCCTTCGAAAGAGTCATTGTGCAATAGATAGTAATCTAAATAAAGCACTGTACTTCAAAACAATAAAGTAGCCACACCTTTTCCCAGATATGTGGAAAAAGCCAACAGTAGCATACACAGCAATGGGAAAAGGTACAGCTGCAATACTGAAACAAAGAGAGGGGTTCTTTGTACATTGTGACAACACTGGCCAGTTTCCTATTGACCAGAACATTAGTATAATCTCTTGTTAAAAAGAACAAAAAATAGATCTGGACAATATCTGTCTTGCAGGTTTCATTTGCATCACTGCTAAATGTGATGTTTCTATTTTATTTTATTTTTGAATAAGCTTGAATGTGTATAATTTCCCACTAGATCACATTTTTACTTATCTCTAATAATGTTTTTTTTAAAAAAAACTTACATTCCTATCTGAATTCTGCCTTTGTTGATTTGATATTCACAAATATATACTTAGGAATAAGTCCTGAGATCTACTTATAATTGGCAGCTAATTAGAAGTCTAACTGCAATACATATGTACTCTATTACATTCAAGTTGTCTAATTTGTATGGTATTCTGTTCTCAGTACCTCCAATGCAAACCCTCTTGTACATACATGTACCTATGTGTGCCTATGTAGAAATACCTGTATAAATAAATGGAGCTAAATTTTCAGGCAAAGGGTTTGCATCCCAATTTACTTAGAGATCCAGGAGGAGGGCCTTCTCTGTTGTCCCCCCTCTCCCCATCCTCTGTAGCATCTTTCCCCCACCCCATGTGAGGCCAAAACTCCTTTCAAAAGGGCCTAAAGACTTGTCTCTGCTAGTTGGCCTGGGGGCTCGATGGGGGAACAGCAAAGTGGAAGAGGTGGATGGATTGAACAACAGA